ACGGAAAAAGTATAAAAATATTAATTAAAATATTTATAAAATATAGTGAAGTCATATTTACTTAAATATATATATATTTTTTATTTGAATAATAAAAAATAAATAATAAATAATGGGGACACTTAAATAAATACATATCATAATTTACACTTATTTTGAAGAATGACAAATAAAATAATGGGGACACGAAGAAATGATTAAATAAGTTGAACATGATCAAAGTGCTTCACTATCAATTCCACTCAATAATTTATTCTTATACTATAATCATTTCAAATTATGATAGTAACACAATAATGCCAATATTTTTAGCAATTACACATGAATATATACTGTAATAATGTCAAACTTATGCAATAATCAATATATATATATATATATATATATATAATTATTGGCTCAAACGCTATCATAAGTTGAAGTATTTTTAATATATGCATTGCCCAAAAATATTATTCCCTCGTAACAAAATATCTATTTTTTTATTTTTGTCTATCTCATAACAAAACATCAATTTTTTTTTTAGTAATTGTATTATCTACTTAACATTACAAATACCCTTACAATCTACAATATTACACAAATGTCATTACATTTATATCACATAATACTAATAAGGTTATTTTAGTTATTTCTACTTTATTTATACTATATTTTAATATAATATTAATATTTTTAAAACTCAGTGAAAAAACAAATTGATACATAGTTATGGCAGATGGAGAGTATATCCAGTAGACTATATTCAATAATTTATAGCTGTGTATTGTAAATATTTTGATGTTATTATTATTATTATTATTATTATCATTATTATTATTATGTTGGGAATGGTTAATTTTTTAATATATTTCAAGTATAAATCATTGTGATTTTTATATTTTTTAGGTGGGGCTATTACAATATTTGTTTGGTTTTGATTTAATGCTTTTTTTTTAAAAAAAAAAAAAAAAACTCTTTCATTTGTACTATTTTGATAAATATATATTATTTTTTTTTATATAAAATATTATAAAGTTACAATAAAAATAAAATAAAAATAAAAATAAAAATCTCAAACCAAACATATTCGAGTGATAATTATATGACAAAATTCAATCTGAAGTCAAAAGTAACCAAAAGGGTGAAGAGCGCAAATGAAGGCTGAAAAGGACATTTTGGGAATATAATTAGTTTGTGTTTTTTAATATTTTAATTATTAATCATTTATATATATATAAAAAAAACTGTATATTGTATATTTTCTTTTTTATAAATACATATATATATTATATTTTTTGGTTATTTATTAATTACTCTATCACATAAAGTGTCTATTTTTTTCTTATTTTCGCATATATCACATAATTTGTCTTTTTCACATTTTAAAATTTGTATTTTGTAATTTATAAGTTTATTAATTTTAATTAAACTATTTAACTATATTAATTTATAGTTATTTTTACTATATACTAATTACTTTTATTGATATATTTTTTAATTACTTATTAATGATATTTTATTTAAATTTTTATATATACCGTAGTAGTCTCAATTTACATGCGACGAAAGAAGTATTAATTATACTTTTTATTATTTACTAATTATATTTTATTTAAGTTCATATATATATATATATAATAACATGGACACTTTTAATAGAATAAAATAACTATATTTCATTTAAATTCTTGTATCTATGGGTGTGTTTCTTCGGTGTAATTTTTGGCTAAAATTATTGCATGGCCACTGTTGGTCCGGATTTAGCGGCAAACCGAGCCTTTTTTCCTGCCGCTGAACAGCAGTGTGTATTGCACAGAGCTGTCATATTTATTTTTTAAAAAATTTATTTATTTAATTATAAATATAAATATAAATTTTGTAATATGTATAATTTAATAAAATATATACAATATATATTGTTATTTTGTAGAGAATAAAATATTTTATAATATAGATAAATAAAAATTTAGAAATATTATATAGATATAATATAAATTTATAATTAAATTATGCAAATTAATACACATTTATATAATTATATTTATTACTCATCAAATCAATCATATCAAAATTCCCCAAGCCTCCAACCAAACCTAAATACAAAAGAAACATCAAAATTCAAACTCAACTCAAAATTCAAATAAAAACCAAATCCAAACTCAAAATTTTCAAAACGCTCTAAAGAAACACACCCTATGTTAACGAACAGTCAAAAATACTCCTTTCATCTCTAATACAATAGTCTTGTTTACCATTTTGTCCGTCCCAAAACAATAATTTTATTTTCATAAATAACCATATCACCATAAAACTACCCCTACTTTTTCATTTTTATTACATAATTGTCACTGCATTTTACACTAATACACTTATAAAAACAAAAATATCTTTTATCTATAATTTTTACCAACTACCAAAATAACATCAATATTTCTCAAATCTAATTTCCAACTCAATTAACAATATAGATATAGTATGAAACGAGTATTTGACAAATAATGGGCAAAGAGTATTATTTGTAGATGTGATGGGGTGGGATGAGAATCACATGCGGGCAGTTTCCATGATTGAGAAGCTGAAACCGGAGCAGTATGGCGTCCTCATTTCTGATTTGACAGCTAAGGTAGGTCCCACTCAGATCTTATCACAAATCACACTAATCAACGGTCAATCGGAAAGCTTACCGTGGGGCCTTCCGCACTGGAACCCTGCTTCATTACTCTTGACTTGACTACACCATTGTCGTACAAGAAATTCGTGTCAACTGTCAACGCCGTTAACTTTATTTTATTTTTAAAATTTTTATATTCTCGTCGCATCCGTTAATTATTAATGGAAAAGAACAGTCTAACGGCCGGTTGTAATGTAACGGGAAATTCAATGTTACTGTTAGTAAATAAATAAATATAGCTATAATAATTTTTTAGTCCGTGAAAATTATATCGCTATTTTTATTATTTTTAGTAAAAATAATTAGTATTATATAATAAAAATAATTTTAAATTAAATTTAAAATAATTAATAAGTATAATTAAAATTAATTTATTTTAAAATAAAATTAAAGTGCATAATAATTTTAAAAAATGACAAAATAAATAGGATATACAAAAATAAAAAAATAGGCACAATACATAAGTGAGACGGAGGGAGTACATTATTAATAAATAATTTTATTCATAAAAATTTTATTATTTTATTTTAATGATTAACAATCCAGTTATTATTCTTTAGTATTGTTGTTTTAATTATTTAATAAATTTCTTATAATATTTTGACCTTAATTTTTAATTTATTATTTGATTTTAATAAACAATATTATTAATTTTTAAATATTTGTTTCAAACAAACTTAATATAATTTTACTGAACAGATAAATATAATATTTGACTAAAAATAAAATAAAATTAAATTTCAATATTAAAAATAATCTTACAGTAAAATAAATTTTATGAATAAATAAATCTTTATATATAATTAATATAAATAAATTTTTATAACAAAAATAGATAGTAATATATTTATTTATTAAAATAAGATAGAAATATGAAAAATTGTCTTATATGATGATTTTAACTCTATTGAAAAAAAAAATTTGCTAACATACGAACAAAGAAGTTTAATTAAACTTAAGCGAATATTTAAATACTCATTTAGATTATTTTTTAAACTTAACAATTTTATATAAAAATGTTGAGCAAAAATAAATGTGATATTGTGTTATGGGGTAGTGAAATATTCTGTATTTCAAAACAAGTACACTTCACATGCACTCATTTGGCATCACACCAAAACCAATAATACAAAAACCCATCTCTCTCTCTCTCTCTCTCTCTCTATATATATATATATATATATATATATATTTATTTATTTTTTATATAATTATCTTGTTTATCATTTTTATATATTTCAAAACAATAGTCTTATTTTCATAAATAATTATATTATTATAAAATTACTCTTATTATTTTATTATTATTATTATTACATAATTGTCATTATTTTTTACACTGCTATACTCAAAAAAGTTTTTTACTGGTATTTTTTACCCCTTATCAATATAATATCAATATTTTTTAAATCTTGCGTCAAATACAATTCAGACTATAGTTCTGAAACGAAGGAAGTATATTCTTATAAAATCACATAACATTACGAAGATTTTTCTAAATTTTATTTATTCAAAAGTTCAAAAAGTACATGTTTTCAATTTAGCATACGCTTTTATATCACAAAGCATATTTTATTTGATCTCTTGATTGATGTTTTCTAAAGTCTGCATCAGTATTGTCTAAAAAAATCTAACTTATACTATAGTAATCCACGTTATATATATATTTTTTTAAGATAAAAATTAATGTCTTATAAGAAAAACTATGGGTTCAAGACAACATATTTTCTTAATCTCGTAAAATATATATGATTTGTCTGGTGTATCCTTCTTTTATAATCAATCTAATTTACAAGAAAATAAGCATGATTGTAGATAAAATAAATAAAGGGATAGCTAGAGATAAAAGAAAATGGGTTGGGTGGGTAGTGTGGCCAATCTAGTGGGGTTTAGGCCATATGTTGTGTAGGGGGGTGGGGTGGGTGTAGGGTACCCCCACACCCCCACATTGGCATTGCCCACCATAATAATTCCAATAACAATTATAGAGAGGCACTCCAATAATGTGTTGTAACCCTCTTCACACATTCCTCCAATTATCTCTCTCTCTCTCTCTCTCTCTCTCTCTCTCTCATCAAAACAATATCATAGCTTGGTAGAGATAAAAGATATTTCAGAGTTCTCAAATCTTGAAATTATTTTATAAATAATAAAAAAAATTAAATCTTTATATAATAATTTGTGAAAAAATAAATAATGGTGTACACTTTCTTGATTGAATTTCATTCAATTGAGCCAACATTAGAGACACGATTGCTTAGTTACATCTTTCCTATCTTTAAATTCACACCTTATTTTCTTGCAATAAAACATTTGGACATTATAAACATTATTATTCCCATCATCATCAAAATCATCATATGTTATTACACAAGCTTTTAGCATTCCCCTATGATCAAACTAAATCTAAAACTTCATTAGAAATTCATAAATATATATATATATATGTAAGTGAGAAGCCATTTCCAAGTATAATATTGCATATGATGATTTGATTTGATTTTAATTTTAATTTTAATTTTGATTTGATGATCAATAGAAAAGAACTTATCATCACTACTCTCATCACATTACTCGGCAGCTCGTCGCGTTTTCGTCGCTGAACATCGAATACTGTTCGCCGGCCGGCGCCGGCGGGTAGCCGTACGGGGGGTACGGCGACGGCATGTAATTAACAGCCGGCGGTGGCCGCGCGTACATCATCGGCTGAAACCTCTCGTTCCCGTTCGCCCGTTGCTGATTCATCATCATCGCCGCCAGCTGCGGCTGCTGTTGCAAATACGGGTTCCCCGCCGCCGCCATCTGCTCCGGCCCGCCACCGGAATAATACCCTCCGCCTCTTCCACCACTGCCGCCGCCCATCGCCGGCAGCCCTTGAACAGCCGGAAGATTCCCCATCGGCGGCATATTCCCCATCGGAATCATCATGTTCGACATTCCGTGTGGGCCGTGATTGAAACCGCCGCCGCTGCCGCTGCCATCCTTTGCAGCATTAGGCATAAAATTGGCGCCTCCGGCGGAGGCGCCGTTCTTGTTCTGATCACCAATTTGAGGTTGTCCTCCGCCGCTCTTACCCCCTTTTCCGCCGCCGTTATTCCCATTCCCACCTTTCTTCCCGCCACCGCCACCGCCACCGCCAAGATTCATGTTTACCGGAATATTTCCACCACCGCCGCCGCCGCCTTTCTTTCCATTGCCACCATTACTCTCTCCGCCACGCATCCCCTGCTGCGGCGGATTCATCAACACATTCGGCATCGGCAAACCGCCGCCGCCGCCGCCGCCGCGTCCCATCCCCGGCTTCATCTTATTCAAAGGAACATCATCCAATTCATCCTCCAATTCATCATCAAATTCATCATCATCATCATAGTCATCAAATTCATCAAACTCATCATCACTAAAACCCTCATCTTCACCCAACCCCCCACCACCCCCACCCCCACCACCGCCAGCGCCGCCCTTCTGCGGAGGCTTGGCAAGTTGGGGAGGCAATTTCATCTCCTGAAAACCCTTAACCTGAGGAATTTGACCCTTATTAGGGCCCCCAACCTTACCCTGACCATTTCCACCCCCACCCCCACCCCCCTTCTGCCCACCCCCCCCTTTACTATTCCCACTTTTTCCATTCTCAACAATCTCCAAATTCTTAACCTGATTGTTCATCTGGTTCTGATTCCCCTTTTGTGGCCCCCAAAGCTCAGCATGTTTCCCATTCTTGATCAATTTTTTAATCAGTGTTCCCGAATCGACATTGCTAGATACAGTAACCTTCCCCAGCTCTGAATCAATGACTGTCGTGTAAACTCCTGCAAAAAACAAAAAAAAAAAAATTGGGGGTAAAAATAAAATCATCACAAGGGATTGACTCAAAATAGTGAAAAGAATTTTAGTTAAATTTTTATTTTTTACCATCAATCTTCTGCAAGATTTTCTTCACCTTCTGCTTACATCCATCACAGTGAATATTGACTTTAAGCACACAAGTCTGCACAAAGAAGCAAAAGAGTAGACAGCAAAAGCATAAAAAAGAGGGTAAATATAGCGAGAGAAAGAGATCTTTAAGTGGAAAACAAGAAAGCCCAAAATGCAGAATACATAAAAAAAAAGGTTTAGAAGAGTGAGAAGTAAACTAGAGTGAGAGATGAAGAAGGAAGAAGAAACCTGGATCTTCAAGAACTCTTCTTTACTCATGTTTTTAAGAGTGAGAAAGAAACAAGAAACAGCAGAAGAGAGGATGAAAGAAAACCAGAATGAGGGATGAAATTAATAAGGGACAGATCTTAGAGCAAAGAAAGCTCAGAAAGAGGAATGGCTGAGTCTCTCAGAACACTTCAGAGGGAGACTTAAAGAAAGGAAAGAATAACATTTTAGGGATGGTTGTTGAACAACATTAAAACTCCTCTGCTCAGCTTAGGTTTCCTCTATTTCAGAGTTAGAGAGAGAAAGGTTGGAACTGGAATGGGAATGGGAATGGGAATGGGATTGGGATTACTCAACAAACAAACAAATTGCAGACTGGTACAGAAGAGGGAGAAACAACATATAGAGAGAGAGAGAGAGAGAAGGGAAACAAGAACACTATCACATCCTTCACTTGGGGGGGTAAAATAAAACACTTTCTTGGATCAAAATTATTTAAGTTTTAACCTCGAATCAAAAGAATCTTGTAACAGTAGTTAAAAGAAGTCTTTCCCAGTGGGCTGTCGGTCTGTGTTGGGCTGAATGGAATGGCTCTAGCTAGCTAAGTGTTTTTTTTTTTTTTTCTCTCTCTCTCTCTCTCAATTTAGAGATGAAATATCATCGAACCTGCTAACAAGATGGATGCATTTATTGTTTCTTGCAGATGTTTGAGGAGAAAGGAACTGCTGCTGCTGGTCCGAATTTGCCTCTCTCTCTCTCTCTCTCTCTCTCTCTCAGAATTGGTTGGTGTAATAAAATCTCTACTTTATTTCTTGATTCTTGTTCTTGTTGGTGTAATAATAATTTTATTATTGTTATTATCATTGCATTTACATTCTCCATCCAAACTGCTGCAGATTTTCTTAAAGATTGGTTCTTTTCCATCAACAAAACCTCAGATCCATTCAAAATTTTAATTCTTCATCTGTGACATAAAGACTCAATTTTTTAATAAGGAATTTCATTAAAAAATGAGATCTTTTACAGCATTAGTTATTTAATTATGAAAAAATAATAATAATAATATAGTGAAACACACTACTCAAGAAATAGTGAAAGGTAATTTTAAGTAAAATTTAATAATCCCTATGAGCAACCACGCAACCATAAAAGATTTTATTTTTATTTATTTTTTAATCTTTTTGCCCTTCTTTTTATGTAATTTCCAAAACCCAGAAATAAAATCAGTTATATAGACAACCCTTTTCACTAAATATGGTGGGATTAAATCAATAATTATTTACTTGCATTTGTCTGATTCAGTTTTTCTAGTATTTGGTTTTCTTTTCATGCATGTTTAAGTGTCATAATTAGTGTATGTGATGTGATTCTGAAAAGCCTAAAATAATGATGAAGGGAAGTCCCTTATGCACCTTTTTTTTTTTTTTTTTTTTCCTAATAAAAGATATGTAATATTAATATATTTTTAATTTGAAGATGAATTATTATTTTTTTAAGATGAATTATTAAGGTACAGTTTTGGGGGCCCTTGGGCAGTTCAGCCATAAAGATTTATGTGAATAAAACCCCAAACAGCTCTTCTTCCTCACTGTAATAATTCAATTCTACTTTTGGATATTCCCTTTATAATTTTTTCAATTTAGGTATTTATTTTTTCTCTATTATTATTTGTGGGTTTTGCTTACTATTCACTCAAAAGATTTTAACTTTACACCTTCACATATGTGGGGTGTGTATATGTTATTTATTTATTATTTTTTAAAAAAAGCCCATTATTATTAATGGTAAATAATTATTTACCATAAGCATTCAAAGTTCATTTTCTCCAGTCTCCACTACACCAAACCATGTGGTCTCTCTCTATTCTTTAATAATAATAATAATATTATTTTATTTGTTGGGATCATTCTTTTCATGTATATGTATATGTTTATTTTCTTGATGATAAACAGCAATGGGGTTGGGGGGACTATAAAGGGTGTTTGCCATTTTAGTGCAAGTCTAACATATGAAGGGTACTTGCCTAAAAGGGTATATTGGAAATGAGAAACAAAAATACACACATATAAAATGGTTAAAACGGGCCGGTTCGGTTCGAGCCTGGACCGGACCGGCCCATTGGGCAACTTGAGTTGGGTGGGAAGCTCCAGGGACTGCAACTCCAGATGAAGATTTAGAAGAAGAAAATGATGATCAATTTTGATCAGTCACAAAAACTCATGGTTTAGGACAAATATCCCAGAATATGTTAAGAGTGAGAAAATAATGTATGTATGTATATGTATGTATATATGTATGTACATTCAACAAAACTGTACAGTGCAGTGCAGTAGGAGAGAGAGAGAGAGGAAAAAGGAATCTCACACAAGAAGAAGGACAGTAATCATAATCATGGCTGCTGACATTTGGTTGTGTCTCTGATGTGATGTGATTTGTTTATTACTCCATCCATCTCTGCTCATTTTAATTTTTTATTGATCTGTGGCATACCGTGTTGCTGTATATATACCACAATTTAAATAAAGTATAATTAACAAATAACTAAAAATATATTAATAAAAATAATTATAAATTAAAATTAAAATAATTAAATAATTTAATTAAAATTTAAAAATTATAAAATTTAAATTTTAAAATAAGATTAAAGTCAATTACATTCTCGAAAATGTAAAGGATAAATTATGTGGGACGGATAAAAATAAAAAATAGAGATAAATTATATGGGACGGAGAGAGTATTATTTAGATAAGATTGTATTCCTTCTGTCACAAATAATTTGTCTCTATTTTCTATTTTCGTCCGTCCTACGTAATTTTTCATTTCTATTTTTTGAAATATAATTATACACTTTAATCACATTTTAAATTTTATAATTTTTTAAATTTTAATTAAATTATTTGCTTATCGTAATCTTAATTTATAATTATTTTTACTAAATAATAATTATTTTCACTAATATACTTCTTCATTCTTTTAAATAAATATCTATTTGCTTTTTACACGGTATATTAGTATTATATTGATATGTAAGTAGGAATAATATTGAAATAACAAAAATAATTTTATTAAAATAGTGTAATACAAAGGTAATAACATTTGTGTAATATATTATTTAATGTATTGTATGTTGTATATTTGAAGAAACGAAAATATTCCATCCCTCCCGGTGCAAAGTTGCCGTTTAATTTTTGCATATAGATTTTTGAATATTAGTATTATAATAGGTTGTCCTGAAAAAAATAAAAATACCCCTATTAGTATTGTGTAATATAAAAAAAATGATATTTGTATAATATAATATAAGTTGAAAGGATATTTATTATTCCCTCCGTCCCGAAATTAAGTATTCATTTGCTTTTTGCACGTAGTTTTAGAAATATTAGTATTATATTGGGATATAGTATAAATAAAGTAGAAATGATTAAAATAACCTTATTAATATGTGTGATATAAAGGTAATGACATTTTTGTAATATATTGTAAATTGTAAGGGTATTTGTAATGTTAGGTAGATAATACAGTTACTAAAAAAAAAAATAAATATTTTGTTATGAGACGGACTAAAATGAAAAAATAGATAAATATATTAAATAAATAGTATCATTACTAAATTAAAAAATAATAATTTTATTTCGAAACAAATAAAAATAAAAAATAATAATCTTTCAATAGAACGGAGGTAATCGCCGACAGAAAATTGTAAAGAAGCAAACAGACGGAGCGAGTAGAAACCACAAGACAACTGCACTCACTGCCCACACTCAATTCTCAATCATCTTTTATTACCTACCACCTATACATACATACATATATATATATATCCGTATCTCTATCTCTTCTGTTCATGTGGACTGCAGCACATGAATGACTTCACCATCCTCTTAAACACCTAACCCACCCTCTCAATGGCCTTGTTACTTCTTCAAGTGTTTGTCAAGGGTTTCTGTTTTTTTTTTAATCATTTTAATTTAAAATTAATATTATTCATTTGGTAGGATTTTTAATATATATATATGATATAAATAAAAATTTATTGACATCAAAATTTAAATAACCAAACAAATTCGTTTTTTTTTTTTCTATTAAGTTTTCGTCCTAATATCTATTTCTTTTTATAAAATACTACTCCATCCGTTTCACATATCATGTCTATGTTGCCATTTTTGTTTGTCCCATATACCATGTCATTTTCTTTTTCTAAAAATGATTACACACTTTAATCTCATTTTAAACTTTTAAATTTTTTTAATTTTAATTAAACTAATTAGTTATTTTGATCATAATTTATAATTATTTATATTATAGCATAATTATTTTTATTAATATATTCTTAATTATCTACTAATTACACCCCTCCTAATACAGTGTAGCAGACACGGTATGTGGGACGAAAGTAGTATTATATTATATTATTATTTAAATTTCAATTAATTTTTATTTTTGTTCATAAAGAAAAAAACTCCAAAAAATGAATAAACTAATTCCCCAATCTTATCTGGATTAAAATTTAAGGTTTAGATTTTTAAATAATAAAACTTAAATTAAAATAGGAGTAAGATGTATAATAGTACTATTTTTCTTTTTTCATTTAAAACATTATAGTATACATCTATTTTTTTTTTTTATTTGGTCTATTCAATAACAAAATATCAAATATATTGTTTTACTTAATACTTTCTCCGTTCCAATATAATAGTCTTGTTTATCATTTTTATCCGTCCCAAAACAACGGTCTCATTTTCATAAATAATCATATCACCGTAAAATTATCCTTACTTTTTCATTATTATTACATAATTGCTACTACTTTTTACACTAATATATTTACAAAAAAAAAAATTTATTTACTCTTACTTTTTACCAACCAGCAATATAACACAATAAGGCTATATCTGGGAAGGAGGAAGTATATCATATCATACAACATTAATAAAGTAAAGTAAGAGACTGAGGAGTATTATCTAAATAAAAAGAAATCTAAATCCTTCGAACCCAATTCAGACTAAGAAAGAACAGTCCTATTTTTTTCAAGGTTCAATTTTGATATTACACTATTCTATCAAAATTTTTCTAGAACTATCAAAACAAACACCTCCTTACCATGTAATATCTCACACAAAATAATCAAATATTCATTCAAAACATCACACTTGTCTCTTCATATCTCACATATTTATATTATACCAAACACCGACCAAAATCAAAATTCCACAGTTCCCAATCACTAACTCAAAATCAAAACCTTAAAAAAGGATCACCTTTAGGTAATAATAATCGTAATCATAATTCATAAGTATAGTTCAGATTGATTATGGTAAGAACTAAAAACCAGCCAACAAATTGTTTCTCTCTCTCTCTCTCTCTCTCTATATATATATATATATATCATGTAGTTTGCAGCAAGTTCTTGTTTTTTTGGGATGAATGTATCTGTAGTTTAGTCTGCAGCGAAGTAAATTATATCACAAGTTTTTGGTTTTTTGGATGAATGTATGAAAAATGTACTGACAGGATGATCGTATCATCTCGTCATGTAAGCTCGTCCAATTTGATTTGCAGGACCGACTCGATGAGTTCCCGGCAGATCGGGCATCTGTTCGACTGGAGCATAAGCGTCTTCGCGCAGTCGCTGCACATACACTGCAAAAAAACCAAACGTTTAGGCGAATGGAAATCGTGGAGCGACACAAAGAAATATGTATTATCTTACAACATCGATAGCATATAGTGTAACGTAGGGGTGGTCACTGTCCGAGTATTTGTAAATATACAGATATTTGATATTTGAACCGAATTGATCAAATATGCAAAACCATGAACTATATTTGAACCTAAATGTCCGATTAATCAAAAATATTTGCATTGTTTGCGAGCAATTCGAATCAAATTGAATCTAAAAACAATACATCCAATAAATGATTAAAATTCATATTAACAGAAAATATTTCATGCCGAATCAAATTGAATCGAACAGAACTACAATTATATTTGTATTTAATTGTGTAAATATTGCAATATAAACCTTTGTAATATTTAAGTTATATTATATAACTATTAACATAAATTTTTAAATATAATAACATAAATAAATTCAGTTCGGTTAACTGAAAAAAATAGTAAAAATCGAAACCGAACCTAACCAAGCAAATATCTAATACTCTCTCTATCATCAAAATTTATGCCCCTCTAACCGAGCATGAATTTTAATAAAAGTAAGAAAAAATATAAATCTTTATTTTTTAGGATAAAAAAAAAAACGAGAGAACATTTTTTTAAGATAAAAAGAGAAAATATAAATTTGGATGACAAAAAGAGTACTATATGTATTTGTATTTGAACCAAATTTTCTTGGTTACCCTAAAATTCAAGTTCAGTTTAGTTCGATTCAAATAAGTTGTTATTGTAAAAAATATTCCCATGTATACTACATTATCACTTTTGTCATGTATTTATCTTGCTGGTAAAATATATCTTATATGATTGCAAAAGTCGATATTTCTATTCTTTGGCCATACATAGCCGTGTGTTATGGCGCGTGGGGTGAACGTCACGCTCGGCAAAGTACAGAAATATCGACATTTGCAAACATTTAGAATATATTTTGCGAAAGAGATAAATACAGAACAAAAGTAATAACTGGGTGTACATGATGATATTTTTTTGCAATTTTCTCTGCTCCTAATGTAATGTAACATTTTTAATGTAAAATTACCATATGTCGACAAGGAAGCACGGCGGTGTCCTTTGGCTCGATCATGCAAATCACGCAATCCTTCCCCGATTCACGGTCGTTTAAACTTTGGCCGGGTTTCGCCAACCCGTAAATCTCGCGCAGCTCGTAGAAGACACCGTCGTTCCACAGTAATTGCCGGATTGCTCTAGCAATAAATTGTCCGTCTTGATTTCTCGGAACGACAACCTGAGTGATTTGCATTTGGGTCGGAGCATGATGCGCCAAAAGATAGTGTCGATCGACCATGTAAGGATTTGGGCAAATGTCAGCACATATGACGATCGGGAAAATGTCATCCCTAGTCGACGGGTTCGAAAGATCATCTAATGCAAAGAATCGAAAGTCGATGCCAGTCCCCGACGGCTGCAGAAATTCTTGTCGAAGCCCTTTCCGGAAGGGGACTTTGATCGGGACATAAGTTTCTGGAAACAAAGGGATGATACTCCGCCTGTCGTCGACCTTTGCAAAGTAATAGATTGTGATGCTGTTGATAAAAAAAAAAAAAAAAAAATGAAATTAGTATAGTCGTGAAATGCAACAAGAATCGAAAGAAAATATAACTAATTCAAGATAGTATTCGTTTTGCGAACAAAAACACAATAACTCAATCATATTTAGTATTGTTACTATGCAATTCCCACGACTCTCTATATAAATAGACCGTTTTTTCCTATAAATATCACGTCAAACGTTTATTTAAAATACAAATACAAACTAAACACATCCAGTATGTTCTACCACGACGAGCAATCAAATACGGGATTTTAAGTCTAAGGAAAATCTAGAATTGTGTACCATTGTGGTTTTTTTACAAGGTTTTTACTATTCTTGACATTTTTTCCACCTAAAAATAGCCAATCAAACTCATATATATATATATATACATGGAAAATTTGTTCATAATTCTCTTGTGGTTTCGAAATTCAGCGTAAATCCTCCCTAAGGAGACGCCATGCAATTTTTAAAATATAGGAGCGTTTATGCTGAATTTCGAAACCACAGGAGAGTTCCGATACATATTTATATTTTTGCTTTAAAATATCACATTAACCCTTATTTATATATAAAGTTAAACTAACCATTCTAGTTCAAAATTTAGTATACACCAAACCCAACTCCAAATAACACAAATGACGAAATATCTACTCATCGTTTGAAAATTTTATACAAATGAACAAATCTCACAATATCATAAAATCAGTTGCTCTATTCTCTTTGAAATTTTTTTCGGATGCTTCACAATGCAATACCCACAAATTTGTAAAACGATACACTCTTTCCTATCACAAAATATTACTACACCAAACCACTATGTAAATACAAAATACAAATACAAACAAACAATTTGATATGTTCTAGCGCTACGAGCAATCAAATACCGGATTTTAAGTCAAAGAAAAATCTAAAGAACGAAATATCAATTCAACAAACCGTTTGCCCCAAGTCAAACCAAAAGCATTACAAGAACACACATAAACAAGAGGCATTAAAATCGAGCAATCAAACACTCTAATGTATTCAAAATCAATTATATAGTAAGCTCTCGTAAATATTCCAATTTTGCGCATTCAATGAAGAACGACAAATGTCTTCACCACATACAACTCCCGCAATAAGTGAACAAGCAAAAATAGAAACTTACTTCGATTACCATTTGAAAATTTAGCATTCAAGTAAACAATTCCTTCAGCTAAATCCCGATAACAATAACCATAGTCATGCAGAGATTAAACGACGTAACAAAGCAGGTAAAAAATGCAATTTAGAGGCTAAATAAAATCGAAATGTTGCAAGAAAAACAATGTTATTTCTATCCTAATTTCGAATGCTGCATTATATGTTCTTACAGCATTGCTTCTTCCTAAATGATCAATAAACCAACAATCAAATGTAGATTCAAATAAGATATGTAAGATTCTTGCAATAATCACATTGTCTTCTCCAAACAAACATTGATCAAACAAATATCAGGCAAAAAACAAAATCAAACCCCCAAAAATCATAAAAAAAAAAAAAAAAAAATCACAGAAATTCGAAGGAACTGAAAATTCGGACAAGATCAAGAACTTTCACCTCCCATCGACCAGAGCATCGAAAACAAAGGAAACCAAAAACCGGTCCCGGTTCAGCTCATCAATCTCAAGCCTCAACGAATCCTTATGCACATTCACCTCACTATTCACAACCCTAGCCCGCGACGGCGCCGGCGCCGCCGGAACCGCCGGTGCCTCAAATGGACGGTCGAGATAAGATTCTCCGACAACAGCAGGATTGCAGACAGCGTAGGCACCCGAATTGTAATAAGGGTAATACACAGATGGCGAGTGGACTGGAAAATTAGGGTTCGCGACGTAATTGGGGAAGTAATCGAGCGGCGACGGCGACGGCGACGGCGGCGGTGGGGCCCGGCGGGGGCCGGCGCTGATCGAAATGCCCATCGATGAAATTGGGGTTTTGGGGAAGGATTTGGAGAGGAAGGGTTTGTTGTGGGCAGGTAGGATTAGGAAATGCCAATTTCATGGCTTTCGATTTTCTTCAGGTTTCGAGGGTTGGAATTATTTTATGAATTAGATTATCTCTAAAGACTAAAGGGATTCGGATTTGGGTAATAATAGTAAATTATAATAATTGGGGATGGGGAGTGTAATAAATTTGGGATTTGACTAAGCACTCTGCAATGGCGTCATAAAGCCATGAGTGTCTTCAACACTATTATTACATTACAATAGCTTTAGGAACTCCATTGACACAAAAAGAGCTTTTCTTATGGAGAGAGAGAGAGAGAGAGAGAGAGGAAGGAAGAGGGGGAGGGAGAGTGGAGTAGTAGACGCTAGGAATTTAAAAAAAATTCAAAATGTCGGAATACCTTAAAATGATAATATTGGCAATATCAATATTTTGATATATACATAAACAAGTACATTTTTGTTACTTTAGTGGACTCAAGAATAAAGTGTAAAATAATGTTTGAACAAAAATAGATATTTTAAAATTTTGATACTTACTTTTAATTTTTATATTAAATACTCCCTCGGTTTCATATTGGATGTCCTTGCTAGTAAACATGAGAATTTAGGATAAATATAATTAATATATAATTAAGAATATATTAGTATAAATAATTATTTTATAATATAAATTTAAAATTAAAATAACTATTGAATTTAATTAAATTTAAAAAAATTAAATTAGAAATTTTAAAATGATATTAAGATGTGTAATATTTTTTTAAATATATATTATTTTTGTTTCAATTGAAAGTATATTTTTATTATTTTTGTCTGTCATACTATAAAAGTATAATAATTATACATTAGTACAAAAATACTTTTAATTTTTATATAAATTATAAATATATTATTACATATACAATTACTTTGTACATAAAGTCAAATGACAAAATTATCAAAATTTTTTACGTACTTTTACTAACTAGAAAACTTGAAAATAGTTTTAACCTATATTTTTCATACAAATATATTACTATTTTATTTCATATAAAAATATCAATTAATCTAAAATTCAACCAAAAAAAAAAACTCAAACTCTATCTAAAACCAAACAAAAACTCAAATTCTTTGTAATGACCCAAAGATTCCATTTTTATACTAAGCTCTTTCCTAAGCCCATTAAAATTTAAAGAACGTCAAAGTGAGATTTTTTTTACTAATATTTTTTTTTATTAAAAATGTATCAAAAAAATTTAAATTTTAATTTACACTTATTTTTATTTTTTTTAATTTAAAAATAAAATAATATTATTTTAAATAAACATCAAATTGTAAAAAAAATTATCAAAATTATATTTTCTCCATTATCCAAATTTATTTTAATTTTATTTTTTTTATTGTCATCTAATTTTATTTTTATTTATTCTTTTAGTAAAAAAAAAATACTTCACTTTTTCTTTTTACCACAAAAAGTAAAAATATTCTATGTTTATCTATTTTTAAAAAAAAATATGCATAATTGAATGACATATGAACTATCATCTATAAAAAAGAAATAGTGTAGAAAATAAACAAGCAAAAAATAAGTTGTTACAATACTAAATTATTTTTATTTAACACTATATTGATAACACAGATTATTGACATATAATATGAAATATTAATAAACATCACAATATATATGGGTATATTAATATAGTATAAATACTCCCTCACTCTAGTTAAAAACTATATATTTATTTTTTGGTGTGGAGTTTAAGAAATAATAGTATTTCAGTTAAAAGTAATGTAATAATATTTTTGTCATTGTTTTTTTTGGTATAAAAGTAATAATATGATGTAAAATAAGAATATTTGTAGAAAAAAATTAGTATTTAATGAAATGATTACTTTGTATTGAACGTCATAAAATAGAAATATGTATACTTTATAACTTGATGGACAAAATATAATACTCTCTCCGTCCCAATACAATAGTCTTGTTTACCATTTTTGTCCGTCCCAGAACAATAGTCTTATTTACATAAATAATCATATCAACATAAAACTACTTATAATTTTTCATTTTTATCACACAATTGTCACTACTTTTTACACTAATACACCCATAAGGGCAAAACAGTCTTTTATTCATATATTTTACTAACTACTAATATAATATTAATATTGATTAAATCTCGTGTCCATCCTAATTAAGACTATATTTATGAAACGAAGAGAGTATATTACTCTGAACATTACATGCTACCATTGATTTTTTTTCATTAAAAAAATATATCCATATGACACCCTTATATAATATAATCCTACGGTACTAAATGAAATAATTCAACATTGTAACGGTATCTAAAAAAAAAAAAAAAAAAAAAGAAAACAAAAAAGAGATAAAAGAAAGAATATGCTAAATTTTCAATAATGAGGGCGTGAGTTTAAATTTTAAATCCTATGAGTCTTGTATGTCCGTTCGTATTTTGCAGGCTGTTAGATTCAATTAAATTTACTTAAAAGCTATTAACGAGTCGAATTGAAGTGAACAAAATTTTTAAAACTTTGTGTTCGTTCGTTAAAGTTTACAAACAAAACTTATTTTCATTTGTATTCGATTCGATTAAACTCGTTTGAACTTCTTTGAATAAAAATGATATTTTATTTTATTTTCTAGTTCATATGTATAATATTTCATTTATATATTTATTATAATTAATAATTTTTTATATATATATTTTTAACAAATATTCATGAACGAAGCTCAGGCTTATCCGTTATCAAAACGAATCTATTTATATTGTTCCGTTTGACTCATTTACATTCACGAACGAAATTAATCAGAGTCGAATCAAGCCGAGTTTATCAACAATTCAGTTCATTTAACGGCTCTTCGCATAGCACATTAAAAGAAAAAAAAGAATAACATTACATTAAGATCATCAAGACAATGTACGATACACCGAAGCCGACTAATCCTTAATCAACCCGAAGCCAATGCATTGAGCAAGACATGTCCGAGCATAACATCTACGAAGTAGTAGTGTCCGATCTTCCCATCGATCCACCTCCTCTTCGCCGGCGCCCGGCCGTAGTGAATCCCGTCGCTCCCGCGGTTGTCGTAATGCCACGGATACGTTATATCGAAATCATCGACGATCTTCCCGACCAACCCGTATTTTCGAAACTTGTCCAACATTACTCCGTTGAATGCCTCCATTTTGTTCGGATTGAACGGCAACCGTCGAGCATGCCCGCCCGTCGCGATCGTCGTCCGGTAAATAATCTCCGGCCGTCGCAATCCCCTGTTTTCCACGTCTTCGATCACCCCTGCCCAAAACGCCGCTGTGTACTCCGCCGCACCGGCGAATCTCCGAATGTTCGGCCAATAGATCCCGTCGTGGAGGCCCGAGTTCATAATCACGGCGTCGGGAATGACGTCGCCGGTAAAATACCCTTTCAAGAGCTCGAGGTAATCGGCGTTGTACATTGAGTTTAGACCCTGTAATATCAGTTGTAAATGAATTAAATAATTTTGTTTAATTAAAAATTTTATAATTTGAATTCCAATATAAATATGAATAAAAAATACAAATGTAATATTCAATTAATTATATAAAAAAAATAGTACTATCAAATATAATATATATATTAGAAATTAAATAAATCAAACTAATTTTATTTATAAAATTAATTTTTAAATTTTATATAAATAAATACTCCCACCGTGTAAAAGGATATTATTTTTTATTTTTATTAGTACCTAAAATAAAATATTATTTTCTAATTTAGTAATTATACTATCTAAAATAATAAATATCTTTACAATTTTCAATATATATATTACACAAATGTCATTATTTTTATATTATACCGATATTGATAGGTACCATAATAAACTCTTTTATGTCAATTTTAAAAAAATTATAAATAATAGAATCTTGCATTTTATTTTTCTTTTAAACAAGCAAACTTTCTTCTAAAATTCAATAGAATAATTTGAAAATTATTCGAACCATTTTTAATCGAATAGAACAAAAATGAGTCGAATATTTGATCTTATTGTAGAATTTTATTTTAAAATCGAATAGAATAATTTTAAAAATATTTCAAATCAAATAGGAACATCATTAAAAATTCAAATAATCGAATATCGAATCGAAAAGTCAAATAATTTAACAAATTGAACCGCATATTTTCATATCATTTCAATTCGATTCGTATACAACCCTACCTGCCAATGCCCCGTCTCGTTTGGATGCCCATTAAAAATGCTGGTGAATCTCACAACTTGCGACGAATTCCTCCAATTCGTAACATTCGCGTCGAACCTCCTCGGCACAACGAGCCCCGGCACGTCAAAAATAAAATCAAACATATTACGGATCGTGTCACAATGATTCGAGTCCCCCCACCAAAAAATCCACCTTCCGGCTACGGCATCCCAAGCTTCATCGCTCGTAAATAATTTAAACGAACAATGCGCCGAATAAGCCCAACCGTCGCTCTCCAACCGCCCCAACGGCCCGCGGCACCACGGCCGGAGGCAACGGAAGTCCAGCTCGAGACACCGGAATCGGCCGTCGTCGCCGATTGGACAGCTGTCATTCCGGCCATGTCTAGTCCATCGCCCCGACCAGATGTCCTTAGAGTAATCCGATTTCTTGCAATGTTGTAGTTTCTTCATGGGGATTGGTGATTCGGATTTTCTGAATTTGATCGAAATCGAACGTAGGAGTTTGTCGAAAGCGAATCTTTTCGGGAAGATTTTCAGGCCGTCGTAGTTTCTGAACAAGAGGATGATGGTGAAGTTGTAGTCGCCGGCGAAGTCGGGGTGGACTTGGAGGGCAAAAGAGTAATTTCCATTGCCTAGATCTTTGACAGGAGGGTGAGATTTCCATTTTTGACCTGAGAGATCGGTTTCGAAGTAATCGCCTGATGAACAGTTAGGGTTTGGTTCTCCTGAATCGTCTAATGTCTGGAAGACGAATTCGTGGATGTGGCCGGTGGATAATTCGATTTGATTAGGGTTTTGATTATCCAAGGAGGGGATTTTGATGTCGACAGTTGTCGAATTGTTGCATTGATTCGACGACCATTTTGTGAGAAGATTTGATGTGTAGTTTGGTCCGAATTCAGCTGAAATCCATGGGATTGGGGTGAAATTAGGGTTTTGAAAGGGGGGAAAATTAGGGTTTTGAAAAGGGTTGAAAGATTGGAATTTCCAGATAATTGAGATGAATCCGAGAAAGGCTGCCATGGATAGGATAATGGTGATGAAATAGTTATGGAGAAGAGGGTTAATCGACGATTTCCAGACATGGACGATGAAGTTGTAGCGTTGTTTCTGCTGTATCGACGACGACGACATTTTTGTTCGAACTAAGAAATGTTCTTATTGATTTGATTGGTGATTTTTACATCAAAGAAAGAGTGGAATTCAACAAAGTATAAATTAAATTAAATTTAGAAATATAGCCACGTTCTCTGTCTTTCTGTAGATTTATATCCCATAGGCTTAACATGAGCAATTATTTCTCAGCGTAATAATTTTAATTAGAGAATAATTAAGGTATTCAATTTTTCAAAAATATTAAGTTTAATATATATGTTGAAATAAATTGTGATATGTATTATATAAATTATTTTGATATTTTATTAATATATGTTGAAATAAATTAGATAGTATGTAATTAGTAAGTAATTAAGAAGTGTATTAGTAAAAATAATTATAATTTAATAAAAATAATTATAGATTAAGATTAAAATGACTAAATAGTTTATTTGGAATAAAAAATTATAAATTATGAATTTTAAAATACGATTAAAGTGTATAAATATATATATATTTTTTAAAAAAAAGTGAAATTATATAGGACGAATAAAAATAATAAAAATAGTGAATAAATTATGTGGGACGAACATAACATCATGCATTGTAGTGTATTGATATATATTTTATATTAAAATCAATTATAATAACAAGTATGATATTATTATTATTATTATTATTATTATTATTATTATTATGTAATTTAACAAACTTAAAGCCCATCGTATATATTGTGACAAAATAGCTGTTGAAAATATGTAACGGAGGAATTTCGCAGGCGAGTATTATAAGGAACGTGCCTGAATGTCTGCATATAATATATATAGTGGAGAGATAATGGCGATTTAATTTGTTGCTTTTAAAATTAATTGCCTGTTTTGGTCGATTATATATTAATTTAAATATACATATATGTATATATAGTTTAGAAATGGATAAAAAATAAAAATGCATGCGAGTATTATTATATGGCCAAAATTTAAATTACAGCCATTTAATAAGATTTAAAAGATAATTAATTGATGTAACATGATTCCAGATTTAAGATTTTTTATTTTGGAGGGTTTGATTGTTTATATTTTTATTTAATCAATACTATAATATGATATTTGGTAAAAAAGATATATTTTTTTATTAAAAAAAATTATAAAAATAGCTAAAAAAAAAAAACACGTGAGTTGCTAATAATGGATCAACCATAATGTAAAATATAAATTATGAAGTTGAATTATTCCACTTTCTAATCATCACATGGGGCCAAGGACAATTCTAAATAAACAAATAAGTATACATTATATATATATATATATATATATGATCGGAAACATGTTCTTGATTTCTTGTAGAAAAAATCGCGTCTTTTGAGCAACACGACTTCTATTTTAATTCATAAAAGCGTGTTTGTTGTTCTCCCTTTTAATTACATCAACCGGATTTACAAATTGTGTTTGAAATTAGAGTTTCAATTCAAATAATATTTTAATATAATATTTTGTAAAAAATATATATATTTTTATTAAAAATTTAATACTCCCTCCATCCACTCATAAATGATTAAAATGTTTTACTTTTTGAAGGATTTTAAAGAATATATTAGAGTAATAATTATAGATAGTATGGAAAGTATGAATAATTTTGTTATAAAGTGGAGACCACGGCTACTAAATAAGGAAACAAGACAATTGTTTTGGGACGAACCAAAATGGAAAAACAAGACAAATCTTTTGGGACGGAGGAAGTATCTTTTATAGGTTAAAATTCAGCGCATGATTAATGACACACCGTGCCCTCTCAGATAGGACAATGTATTACATCAAACACATCGTTTATGTTAATATAATAAAAATATATCACATGAATTAAAAATGCATATAACATGCTTCTATATAATATACATTTTATATAAGAACAAATAGCATATGATCTTATTACACATAGCTGTGCAAAAACTATATACACTAAACAAAAACGATCTTAATCTAATCAACATGTATAGATTACTTTAATTAATGAATTAGCACAAGATCTATTGCAAACTACAACAACATTGTAAATGAAAAATTTTTGTAGGAAATTCCAGCAAAAATTGGAACTTTCCATTTTTCACAAAACAATCAACATAGCTACAAGATGATGGTGGTGTATGCAAGGAACTAGTAGTAGGCTTGCCTGAAAAACATCGAGTTTTCGACGTTCTCAACTCCACGGATCCTCCCATATTTTGCGTCCGTCGCTAGATTTAACAAACGCCGTTATGGCTTGAACGGCTTCTTCGACTCTGTTGGACAGTGTATGGTTCCCTCGCTCGATCTCAATCTTCTCCGCCCCACCCATCGCCGTGCAAAGTCTGCGCCAGATCTTCGAATCAATGATATCCTCATAACCTCAATTTCACAAACATGTCGATTAAAAAATGTAGACTCTGTTTTAGTATATATAACTTTTAAACCTTTGGCCCTATTTATCAACAACAATTTTTCTCAAAAAACATATAAAATCACATCAAATATTCAATTTCTTATCATTTTCAAAATTTTCCAAAACTTAAAATATAGGTTCTTTTTATATATATAGTATATATACAAATTTTACTCAATTTCACAAACACGTTGGTACAAAAATGTAGGCTCTGTTTGCATATACATTTTTGAAACATTCCACCCTATTCATCAACGGTCTTTATTATTTTCAAAATTTTCCAAAGCAATAAAAAATTTCAAAACTTCTATCGAAACAGAAAGTAGAGATTGTTCTATAATGGCATTCTGTATAGGATAAATAAATAGGAATCGTGTTACGGTTCGTACCTGTCAACGAGAGCGTCTTTGCCGATGTAATGTGGCACAAATTCATCAGCCATCGAATACATGACCTGCAAGAAAGAATAAAAAAAATAAAAATCATAAACGTTTAGAGTTTATAGAAATTTCGATGGTGAGTTCAACCGATGCTAAACATACTAAGGTAGGGATCTTAGACATGTGCCCGAGTTTCTGTTTCAGCTGGCTTTCGCTGAAATCGGAGCTGAACATGTCATCATCGCCATTGTATCCAAACAGAGAATGGTATCTGCAAATGGCCGAGCTGTGTGAACAAGACGATGTATAAGATCACAAATTGCGCGTAAAAGATGTAAATAGAATGGTCATCGTGATTCTTTTCTTTTTTTTTTTTTTTCAGTGGTGTTAACCTATAAGCGGTAATTGGAGAGTCGGGATTGGCTTCTCTTGGCATCCATTCGGATGCACGGCCATCGCTTATCATCTTCGAAGCCAAATCAATCATGGAAGCCGTTTCTGGGAATGTCGCTTTATACTCGCGATCACTAACCGGGGCCTTAATGCAGGAAGTTTAAGTATGTCAAGACAAATGCTTTTCCATAAGGAAAATGGGAAAGATTATAGCGCCGAGATTACCTGCAGAATGGCTCCGCGAACGGCCATTGAACACATAGCATTTCTGCGCATGTAATGCACGATATCCTACACAAAACCAATCGACATTCAACAAACGACGATTCCGGAAAAAACATAAATCAATCAATAAGAACTAGCAAATAATGCACGATATCCAATACGGAACCAAGCAAAAGTTCAACAAACAATAACTCTAGAAAAAGCAGAAATCAATCGATAAGAACTAGCAAATAATGCGTGATATCCAATACAGAAGCAAATAACTCATGATATCCAATACAGAACCAAGCGAGAGTTCAACAAACAACGACTCTGGAAAAAGCATCAATCAATCGAAAAGAACTAGCAAATCACCTGACAACCGGTGCTGTGTCCGAGCAGCACAACTCCATCGGATTCTTCCTTGTAGATAAAGTACCTCAGCAGCTGATCGAGCTCCATGGCATCCTTTGAAAAACAATTTGGTTATCTCCAAGGAAGCGAAAAATTATCCGGCTAACAAATACGAGGGGGATAACAATAACAACTAATTACTTGTTTCAAGCTTGAGGCGCCATAACCGCTGTAGGAAGACGATAACAATAATTGAACTAAAGACCAATGTTCTTTCTCCAAAGCATTTGCCAAGGGTTCCAAATATCTGAATGAAATTTAATGAAGACTCTGTTTTAGCAGAAATTCGAAACAATGAATAAATGTTACGTAAAACGGTTAGGGTTCATTCATTGCAGTAGTGCTACCAAATTAATCACGAAAATTTTTGAATCAAGTTTGAATGGCTTAATTACTCTGTAGCCAGAAATCCTTCGGATAATCCACCAACAAATATGACTTGCTGTTTGAAATTACCCGTTCTAAATGCAACCTGTAAAGAAACCTCCATACTTCAACCACAAATCCCCAAAATTCCACGAACAAATTCAATTACACATCGAAACCCTAGAATCGACAATCGCGGCGCAATTTAGGTAAAAATTGAAGCCTAAATTCAGAAAATGAAAAGGAAGCGCATTCATCTTTCGATGTAATACTAAATTTCTCACCTGAACCGGTGCTGGCCCGTACTTGAACATCACGCCGTGGAATCGTCCCTTGCTGTTAATCTGCACCCAATTGCTGCCGGCATAGTCGCCGGAGGAATTGTTGCGCCTCTTGAAGCTGTCGGAGCGGCTTCGTACCATTCCGGAAAGCCAGGAGGCTGAGGATGGGGTCGTGCACTCGTTAGACGGCGTCGAAGGATTCGCATCCACATTTTCCATTGCGAAATGGTGTTTGTTGTCAGTTGATCATCCACGTTGTTTCTGCGAATCTCTTCTCCGTTTCGCGCAAAATCATCGGATTGCAATGATCGCGGCTGGTTCTATCTTTGTGGCCCTTCTCCATCGCAGGGTTGCCCATTTTTGTCTCCAGAATGATCACCAGCGGATAAATCCGTTGGGTTAGTTTGAAAAGGAGAAATTTGTCTTGGGAAGTCCCGGGTGCTCAACTCCCAAATGTATGGACCTAATTTTGTTGGGCTTGTCATATTTCTTAATGGGCTTTAGAAGCCCAACGAGAGAAACTATATAATAAAAGCCCGTTGGGGTGTGTTTGTTTTGGGGGATTGGATTGGCCCTTTGGGGTGTGTTTGTTTGGGGGATTGGATTGAATTTACAATGTTCTTCCAATTTTTCTCCAAAAAAATATCAAATTAAACACTTATTTTTTATTTTTATATTATATTCAAAATCAATTTTACATTCAAAACATCACATCAACACTTATTTATATCACATCATACAACTATTCAAATTCAAAATTTTTACTATTCAAATTCCAACTCAAAATCCAAACCCCAAAACAAACACACCCATTGTATCGTAAAATTATACTGTCCCCTAGTCAAAATATAGAAATAAATTTAAAATTTTTAATAAATTAATAAATAATAATATTTTATTAATTTATGAAATATGCAAGATGTATTGATAATTTTGGCTTTGCGAGTAGAAAGAAAATGAATATTTTTGTAAGAAATTAGAAATATTTTGGTATTTATATATAAATTATTTTCATATTTTTTTAGTGAAACATAAAAAAAAAAAAGAAAGAAAGATAAAATAAATAGATACATTAAGTTAAAACTGATGAAATATTGCATTCTTCGTCCAAAATTAAGTCAGTTATTTATAATAGAAAACTTTATTTAATTATAGTTTTATTATATTTACATTAATAAATAATAATAATTTTGCAATTGTTTCTTCTACTTATTATACTAGTACTATTTTTAATCAATTTTTAATCAAATTTTCATAATACTCCAATTTTATATATTTTTTTATCAATTTAATATTAAATTAAAATATCATAATTTTTAATTTCGATGTCTATAAAGCCAAATAAAAATTCCAGACAAAAATAGAATAATTAAAAGAAGGCTAAATTATATAACATCACATTATATTTTAATAAAAATGTACAAAATACTATGTGTTTTATTTATTACGTGAAATTGTGGTAATATAAAATTTGCACGAAACACCTTTCTTGTCCAAAACTGATATTTTGTTCTAAATAAACACCTAAATTACGCAAATTTTATACAGATAAAAAATATAAAATATATTAAATAATTTTTTAAACAAAATAAATAATTAATTAATTGATTAATCCTTCATTTTATAATTTTTTGTAACAAAATTGTTGTCTGATTGTTATAAAAGCTATAAACATAAATGATTGATCAATTATCTATTTATTTATTTATTTATATTATTCAAAAAAAAATATTTAAGATATTTTACGTTTTTTATATGTATAAAATTTACGTAGTTTAAGTATTTATTTATAACCAAATATCAGTTTTAAACAATGAGGTGCTTCATGCAAACTTTATATTAACACAATGGGATTTCACGTAATAAATAAAATGTAGGGTGTTTTGTGCATTTTTAGTAAAACATAAGGAGGTGTTATATCTTTTACCCTTAAAGGAAAGGGTTACGGTGCTGATTTTTCAAAATAATACACGTAAAATATAAAAACAACGCATGTCTTTATTACACAACAATTATAATAAAAATATGTAATATTTGTTTATAATTACAATCTGTGTGCTGTATAAAAGTATGTCATGTGCAACTGATGAATGTGCTATCTTAATCTATATTATGTGTTATTAATTAATTCATGCGCTATTTTTATATTATATTAATATAAATTATATTATTTAAAGTTGCTGTCATAATTAAAATCAATATCTTATTTTAAATCAATTTTAAAAAAATCTTTTATTCGTAACATCAAAGAATGAGTGGGTGGGTCCCATTTAGGAATCGAAATTCCAAATAGTAAAGTGGAGCCAAACTGCCAAACGCCCCCTAAATAAACTAATGTAAACGACGCTTAACTAATAAAATAATTAGATATATTCAACATTATCTTAGGTTGAGCACGGGGGGCGTGTTTGTTTTGAAAAATATTTAAATAAATTATCTAACACCATTGACTTCCCCATGATTGCTTATCAACTTGTTGTTCTTTAAATGTTTAAAGAGATATTACTAATGCAATGATTCCCCTAAACATTAATTAATTAAATAATTAATTTAAAAAAAATTACAAAGTTGAAAACAACAAACTTAGGATCCATCAACAAATTAAACTTATTTATTTAATTCTTTTAACATCTTTATCACAATTTCTATCAACAAATATTCAATCCCACATTAGATGCCACACACTCAAAATCTAGATAGATTTAAATAAGAAAAAAGAAAAAAAAAATTACTAAAAATTTAGATCGATTTAAATAAATCGCACTGTCTTTTTGATAAGTTTTCGATTAAAATAAATCGCACTGTCTTTTTTATAAGTTTAAGTAAATTGTATTGTCCCTATGAATTTATTCGTTACAAGATTCGGCTAAGAACTCAGATGGATTTTAATATATCGTACGTATTTTTTTCTGTGAATCTATTGTATATAAAAAAATTAGGGTTTATTTATTTTGTATTTAATTTTTTTTTGTTTAAATATTAGCTATATGTAATATTTTGCGGGAGAAAAATTTGTGATTCTACGAAGAATTGCAAATATTTTATAGTAAGAAAGAAAATCAAAGTAAATAAAATCTTACAATACGAAAGACTAAGCTTTGTAATAAAAGAACACATGCTATTAATTTTTTTATTTTTATTTTCTTTCAAAAGAATGGCAACAAAGTGTATTTAATTTGTGTTTGTATTTTATTATAATAAAATATAGGGTAAACTGTTTTTTTAGTTTCGTAATTGGAATCTTTTATCATTTTAGTCCCGTAAGTGGAGCATGTTGCAAACTAGTCCCATAAGTAAAAAAATTTCGTTGTTTTAGTCCTTCGGCGCCAGAGACGCCCGCGTGGCTTGCCGGAGGTGACGTGTCCGCCAGGTGTCGCTGATCTAGCGGACACGTGGATTTTTATTTTTATTTTTTAAAAAATTTAATTTTTTTATTTATTTTTAATTTTATTTGTATTTTTTTTTATTTGGTCTAATTAAAAAAAATTAAAAAAATGAAGAAAAAAAAAAGTAAATCCACGTGTCCGCCAAGTGTCGCTGACCTGGCGGGACACCTGGCGGACACGTCACCTCCGGCGAGCCACGCGGGCATCTCCAGCGCCGGAGGACTAAAACAACGAAAAACTTTCACTTATGGGACTAGTTTGCGACAGGCTCCACTTACGGGACTAAAATGATAAAGGGGTCCAATTAAGGGACTAAAAAAAACAGTTTACCTAAAATATATATTTTTTTAAAAAAAATGTGAAAATTTAAATAGTAATTGAATTAAAAAAGATTAAAAAGAATAGGATGTATAACTTATGAATATAGGACATGTGACATACTATAGTGGAGATCATAGATCAATTCCAACAAAAAAGATAACGACAATTATAATAAATTTTACTTTGAAATTGAATGATTAAGATATTGTTTAAATAAAACTTTTTATATATAGTTTTGAATTTTTTTTAAAATAATAAAAAACTAAGTATTTGATGTAACGTTTACTAAAAAAAATATATATATTTGATATGTTTCACAAATTATTAATTCTTTCGTCCCACCTACCATGTCCATATTGCCCTTTTTGTCCGTCCCACATCCTATGTCACTTTCATTTTTTTAAAAATAATTATACGCTTTAATCTCATTTTACATTTTATAATTTATTTTTTTTTAAATTTTAATTTAACTAATTAGTTATCTTAATTTTAATTTATAATTATTTATATTATAGGATAATTATTTTCACTAATATATTTTTAATTATCTACTAATTATACTAATACTAAATTTTCGTATCTATTGTGACCCAGACATCCAATATGGGACGGAAGGAATATTAATAGACAATATCGAATTTTCAATATATATATATATATATATGTAGAGTAAAATTAAAAAGAGGTAAATGAGTACGTGTGGTTTTAGCTTTAGGCAAAGATAATATATATATAGTGGTGGACAACTTTATAAATCTTTATTACAAAAAAAAAAAAATATATTTTTCAAGTGGCTCTTACAATAAATTGAGGATTATTATTATTATTATTATTATTATATAAATTTTTGTTTGACTGCCCATTTGTAATGATTTCATATAGAACAACTTGGTACTTGAAGATATTCTTAAAAATTTCATTTCCTAATCATTGCTTAGAATTAAATAATGATTGATTTGCAATGAGGGCATACCTTTTTTTGGTAACTTATAATGAAAATTATGGGCTGTGGTTTTGTGCACTTCTGCTCTACATTGCAATATAATTAAATAAATAATTAAATAAACATGAAACCCCATTATAATAAATAATAAATGAAAATAAATATATTTATATATAGTGGAAGTCCAATTTAAATATATTTATATATAATACTTTGGACAAAAGGGCCATCACATTGATTTTGTCGTTTTTCACATTTATAATTTATAGTTGAAGATAGTTAGGTATTTTGATTTATTTATTTTGGGATCAACATAAATAAATATTGGTGGGTTCTGTTTTATGTGATTTTTTTTATTGTTATATTTATAATATTTTATAAGAATATATATATTTTTAATTACTACTTAAATACAAAACACAAATACAAATATAAATTAACCAAACACACACATAGTAACTATATTTTAAAATAAATTTTGTATATATTTTTTGGTGTATGATTTATTTTTATGTTAGTGAAAATATGCATTGTGCTATTTTAATTGAAAATACATTTTAGTCTATTTTTCATTATGGTGTGGAACAAATAATGCAAAAAATATCTAGTTTTAGTTCATGTTTTTATAATGAATTAAGAAAAGAAAATTTTGGTTTATTTAACTAACAAATTATTTACTAATTTGGTCAACAGTGAGAATATTGTTT